CTGCAACCTCCGCCTCCCAGGTTCAAGCAATTCTCCTGCCTCAGCCTCCCAGTAGCTGGGATTACAGGGGCCTGCCACCACACCTGGCTAACTTTTTGTATTTTTTCTTTAAAGCAATGGGGTTTCACTATGCTGGCCAGGCTGTCCTCTGACTCATGATCCGCCCGCCTCAGCCTCCCAAAGTGCTGGGATTACAGGTGTGAGCCACTGTACCCGGTCTGCCTTTAGATTTTCAAAAGACTTTTTGCCCAGTAACACCTAACCAAATCAAAGTTATCCATAACTTGTATATTATGAAATTGAGTTATCTTTCCAAAATATTCAAAATTATTTGCAGATACAATTTCAAAAAAAATCTTCAAACAAAAATTCCAAGGAGTTATTGTATGCTATTTGACAATTTAGTTTTTTAAATTGTTTAAAGATGATAGAACTCAAAGTACACAAGATAAAACAAGTTTAGAATATCTTGCCCTATCAGATATCAAGACCTCATAAAAATACAGTAAATAAGACAGTGTAAGGTTGGCCCAGAACCAGACTCATACAAATACAGAAATAATATATATGACAGAACCAACATTGTAGACTAATGAAGAAAAGAAGGACTATTCAATAAATGATGATGGAATGTTTGGTTATCCATCTGGGGGGGATAAAATTAAATCCTTTCCTCAAACAATTTCCAACAATCAATTTGAAGTCAAACTTAAATGAACGGCACAACTTTAAATTTTTGGAATAAAATATCAGTTAATATCTTCCTGACACTGATTTAAGAAAGATATTTCTTAAACAAGCACTAACAACAGAAAATTTTAAACTACATTGAAAATAAAAGTGTTTAGGACAGAATAAAATTAAAAGGTAAGCCACAAGTTAATCTTATAACTGATATATAACTGACAAAGGATCAGTCCAAATATACACAAAACTCTTAGAAATCTATTTTTTAATTCAAATAAATCAATAGAATAATGGGCAAAAGATATGATAGGCAATTTACAGAAAAGGAAGCACATATGAGAAGCAGCATATAAAATTTTGCTCAATCTCATTAGTAGTCATAGAATTATACACTACAGAGAGAGTGCCATACACTGAATGTTTATTACTTCTCTCCACACCCCCCATCACCCCCAACTTTTGCAAAATTCATATGTTGAAATCCTAACCCCCAACATGATGGTATTTAGAGGTGGGCCTTTGGGAGGCGATTAGGCTACGAGGATGGAGCCATCATAAATGGGATTAATGCTCTTGTAAAAGAAACTGTAGAGAGCAGCTTCACCCCTACCACCATGTGAGGACTCAGAAAGAAGATGGCCATCCATAAACCAGGAAGCTGGCCCCCAGCTCAGCAGATATCAAAGCTGCCAGTACTTTAATCTTGGACTTAATTTGGAGCCTCTAGAACTATGAGAGGTAACTATTTGTTGTTTGAGTCGCCCAGTGTATAGCATTTTTATTACAGCAGCCCAAGGGGACTAAGACAGAAGGTATACTCTGTGTACCCTCAAGATTAGTGAAAATGTTAAAACGTTTTGGCCATGCCATGTGTTGGCAAGAATATACATCATCAGAATCTCTTATACATTGCTGTAGGGAGTGCATGTTGGTACAACCACTTTCAAAAGCAATTTGGCATTTTTTTGGTAAAGCTGAACATTTGCATACCCTTCAACATAGCAATTCAATCCCTAGCTATGTGCTCCAGGAAAACTTTTTCACACATACGAGAATGTTCATAACAGCACTTATCTAGCTGAAAAATATGGAAACAACCAAGGTATATGTATAAAAGAATAGTAAAACAATTATGGCATATTCACCCAAAGAAATCTTGTGCAATAGTAAAAATGATGAAATACAATTACATGCAACAATAAAGATAAATTTTTGAAATATTATGTTAAGTGAAAAAAGCATGTCAGAAGACTACAAATGTATAACACCATTTTTATAAAATTAGAAATAAGAAAAAATAAGCAATATATTGGTTAGGTGTGTATACACATATGTTAAAGCTATTTTCCTAAAGTAAGGAAGTCGTAAACCAAACTTGAGTATATTGGTTATCACTGTGAAGGCAAAGAAATAGAATACAGAAGACACATATGATGAAAGCCATTAGGAATGTTCTTAAGTTGATAACAAGTTCATAGATGATTATTAAATAATTATGTTATATAACATATTAATATATAATTTTATTATTTATTACATATTGCATATATTAAATGATACATATATTATTTGTACCAAACATTTTTAAGAAGTAATATTTTAAAGCATTTTATGAAGGAAATCAGCCATGGGACTCCTTCTCACCTCTAGCCTACCTTCCTTTTCTGCCTTCACTGTGCACACTTTCACCTTCCAAGAAGTTCATGGTCCCTTCCCCAGTACCATACCTACCACCATATCCTTTCTCTGCTCACTCTCCAACCACAGCAGAATAAGTAAATGTATAATAACAATTACATCTTGTTTATAACTGAGAAGTCCTTCAGAAAAACTCAGTACTGAAGGGCAAATATACTGACAGAGTAGCTGAATGACCAGTCAATGAGCTTCATCTATTAGTGACTTTCAGAATACCTGTAGTAGGAACATTAAAATGGGGCTGTGTCTTAAGGAATAAGAGTACAGAGAAATACAATTAAATTCTTCTTAATTTGATGTTTTTCCCTCTTGTGATAATTGTGTCAACTCCATAACTCTATGGCAACTCTATGCAATATTTTCTTTTTATAAAATCACCTAAAAATAATTCGAAGGAAATATGTCACTAAAGTGAGAAAAAAAAATGATTGACTCAGATGTCATGTAGTCTATATTCCTGAACAAAATAGAATCATAGGATGTCTGAGCTGAAGGTCCTTAAAGATTTGAACCAATCTCCTTGATTGTGTATGTCAGGAACTGGAAGCCCTGAGAACTTGGATGGAGGTGCCGATGGCCCTGCACCTAGACCCTGTTTCCTGACTTTCCATATAGTGTAATTTCCACTGTATCATACAGCAGCCTCGTCTCTTAATGCCAAGTTCTTATACCTTACACAGCTCCTCCTGTAGTACTTACCCAGTCTCCTCACCTGCAACTGAAACTCAGATGTCTTTTCTCCCCTGAAGTAAGTGATCTACTTCCTCCAACCCAGCTTCTCCCTCTTTTCTTACCCCAGCATGAAGCAGGAAGAACCATCTGCCATAACAAGCAAGCACACCAATGGTTCCACATCCTAAAATGCTTCCTGAGTTGGTCAATCTTCTGTAAACAGAAGTTTAGGCAAAGAGTGGGATTCCTGAGTAATTGCTTTCCAGTCACCTATGATCTGACAAATCCATGATGTAAGTGCTTCAATTTCCTCAAAGAAAAGAGGCCAGGCGTGGTGACTCACACCTGTAATACCAGTACTTTGGGAGGCCAAGGCGGGCAGACCACTTGAAGTCAGGCATTCAGGACCAGCCTGGCCAGCATGATGAAACCCTGTCTCTACTAAAAATACAAAAATTAATGCGACGTGGTAGCACATGCCTGTGGTCCCAGCTACTAGGGAGGCTAAGGAATGAGAATTACTTGAGCCTGGCAGGTGGAGGTTTCAGTGAGTTGAGATTGCACCACTGCGCTCCAGCCTGGGTGACAGAGAAAAACTCTGTCTAAAAAAAAAAAAAAAAGAGAAAGAAAGAAAAGAGTAGAATTTTCAGATGCATGATAACTCATTGTTAGAACTGAGTAAATTAAACTTTGAAATTTTACCTAGTAGATACTTGTTGATATATACGCATCCATACGTTCACAAAAATGTCCTTATATACCTGTCTTCATTTACATGAAGATATAAGCATATATGCCTGCATACATGTGTAAGACATGCATATCACTATCACGCTACTTTAAAATACTGTATGAAGGCAGTAGTAGAAAGAGCACCAAACTAGCAATCAGAAGTCCTGTGTGTGACCTATGCACATAGCTGAGCCTATCTGTATCTCCACTTACCTTTAAACCTGAATAACCATTCATGTTCCCACATTGTTCCAATGAGTTTTAAAAGGGGGTTATGTATTCAACAGATTAAGCTGATGTATGAAAACTTCTGAGAATATTATGCTTTCAAGGTGTCAACTGCCATTTTTTGCTATTATTTTTTCAGAATCAGGACCAACATTTGCATCCGTGTTTGTTCGGCATTAGATAGTCTAATGAGTCCTCTTTATTATCACCATTTTCACCAAAAACCTGGTCACATTCCTGGTGATTGCATCTCATTCATGAAGTTGTTGAAAGGATTCAAGGAGTTAATACCCTTAAAACATTTAGGAGAGTCTCTGCAGATGGGAAGAATGCAGCAAGGGTCAGCTTTTATCACACACTAAAACGTAAGCTCCACGATTACAAGGAGTTTTGTCTGCTTTCTTTTTTGCTGTATTTCTAGCCCCAGGAATATCACCCAGCACATGCTAAGTGTACATGAAATAATCTGATAGTTTGGTAACCAGGGCTTGGAGGGAAAGGCAGGGATAGAGGGGTGAATAGGAAGAGAAAGAGGAATAGAAGATATTGTTTAAAAACAGAGTTAGCAGCCACCCTTGAACAACAGACTTTGATGCAGTTCTTTACAAAGTCTTATAGGTCTCCTCACAGCCTTCCGAAGCTGGTATTGTCAATGTCTCCTTCTGTAAATGTGGAAATTGAGGCCCAGTGAGGTTAAATGACCCATGAATGTTTAGGAGAGATACCAAATCCAGCTCTTCTGATTGCCTCCTGCACAAACTTGGCGCCCTCCAGTGGCAAAATGGAGCAAAGCAACAGGGGCTACAGGGGGCGGGAGTTAGCTGTTTTGCTGGAGAGAAAAATCAGCACCGCCGAAAGAAGTGTTGACAACGTGTTCTTCCTGGCTCTTCTCTTCATCATCCCAAGTCATCATCACTATCATTCCTTGGTCCTTCAGAAGTTCCTAGTCATCCCTGTTTGGTGTCCATGTGGTCACACTTTATCAAGAGATCCTGAGGTGAGAAAAGCCCTGAAAGCTAACTTAGGGACCTGTATTCTAGCCCTCACCCTGCTCTGGAGTTAAAGTGCAACTTCGAGTAAATCCCTTAACCTCTCCACATTATTTATTATTTATTTTTTTATCTGCCTGCTGAGAGCATGAAGGGATAAGAGTAAAGTGGCTTTTTATTCTCAAAAGAATGAATTTCATTGAGCACTGTGTTAGCCAACACAAAGGGATTATGTAGCGATTTTATTCATTTATCAATGAGATACCTGGACTTTCAAGACATCCCTCATTCACAGGCCCTCACAGGTTTCCTGAATGAGCTCTTAAATATCACACTAAGAGCCTCCTGGACTGTACTGTCCTTGAGGGAAAGATTATGTCTTACTTTTATTTGTGTTCTCACTCACTGTAAACATCCAATATGTATTTAATGAATAAAGGATTGAAGAACATGTGTGATTATTATAACAGCAAGAGCTAAGAGGACAGTTTCCATTGCAAACATCAGACTGGAAATGCAAAGTCTATTTTAGATGCTACAAGATGGAAAGTGTCCCAATTTCCTGGCTGGACTGAGATTCTCTGGAGTGTCACTTCTTCCCTAAGCTCCTCTTGACCCTAAACAGCTTCCTCATGGCATTTTTCACTTTGTTGTTCCTTAGCGTATAGATCAAAGGGTTCAGCAAAGGTGGCATCACAATGTTAAAGAGGATGATAAGTTTGTCTGCAGCCAGGGTGGTAGAGGGACGAACGTACATGAACATGGGGGGCACAAGAACCAAAAGGACAGTGATTACGTGTGAGCCACATGTGGAGAGAGCCTTACGCAGGCCCTCAGATGACTGGCTTTGTAGGTTCAGTAAGATGACAACATAGGAAATGATAAGGATGAAGAAGGAGACTAAGGAAATCATGCCACTGTTGGCCACCACAATGAGACCCACCATGTAGGTGTCTGCACAGGCCAACTTGAGCAGGGGATGAACATCACAGAAAAAGTTGTCTATCTCATTGGGCCCACAAAAAGGCAGCTGAATTGTAAGGAGGGTCTGCAGGATGGAATGCAGGAAGCCAGCTAACCAGGAGGCCCCAGCTAGCAGGCCACACTTCCGGCGATCCATGATAGTTGTGTAGTGCAGGGGCCTACAAATGGCCACATAGCGGTCATAGGCCATGGCTGTAAGGAGGAAGATCTCAGTGCCACCAAAGAAGTGGGCAGAAAAGAGCTGGGTCATGCAGCCATTGAAGGAGATGATCTTATGCTCCACAAAAGTGTCAGCAACCATCTTGGGTATGGTAGCGGATGGATAACATATGTCAGCAAAAGACAAGTGGCTCAGGAAGAAATACATGGGAGACTTCAGGGTCTTGCTGGAATTGATGGTGGTGATGACCAGAAGGTTCCCCAGGACAGTGAGCACATGAAAGAGGAAGAATATCACAAAGCATGCATGCTGCATCTCTCTGCTCTGAAAAAGGCCAAATAAAATAAACTCAGTCACGTTGCTCCTGACACCCATGGATTATCTGCCCCGAGACCAACAAAGTGGCTGGCTGGCTCTGCAAAGACATAAATTATGTGATATAAGAAAGCTTTCTGAGATACCACCAAGATTATGGAGTAAGAAAGACACTAGCCTTCATCCTCATGACCAAATATATACATAATATATGTATTATTTATATATAATATATATTACTTATATACTATATAATTATTTATATATTTTAGGTTATATATATTATATATATTATTTATAATTTATGATATATATTATATATTTATATATTTATTTATATATTATATTATATATATTTATAATATATATTTTATATATATTTATTTATATTATTTATAATATATATTATTTATATAGTATATATACAACCATCCACAAACCAAAATAGCTCTGAGAGGGCTCAAGGGCCCATTAAAGAGTCTACAGTAATACAGAGGAGCAAGAACATGGAGAATAAGCACACACAGAGGATTGCTGGTGATATCTGCATACTTGAGATGCCAGGAGTTGATTAGGAACAAAGAGGAAAGGTTGAGGCAATTAGATCAGCCATGTGGTGGTAACCACCATGATCCCTGCTTTGCAGAGAACACTGGCATTTATGCCACTGAGATAACCAAAAGCCATTTCCACCAGGAAATCTTAGAAAGGGAGACACAACCATACTCCATCCATCTGCAAGAAGCAGATGCTATTGAGCTGCTTTGGAAAAGGAGCCGCCACCTCCCTAACACCATACAAACCCCAAACTGCAGCTTCTCCTTGAGGGCTTACACTCAGACCCAGGGTCTGTGACTGCCCTGCCCCCACCCATGTATCATGCACTGGGCCATCACTAGAGCAAGCTAGTTCACATGCCGGGCCCTAAAGCCAAGGTCTGTCTGAGCATGCCCACACTTTGGGCACCAGTTCATCCTCCACAGAGAGTTAGTCCCCACCCCAACTTATAGCCATTATAACTCTGCATATATCTATGCTCCCATTCTTGACTCCCTGGCTGCTTCAAAGCATTCACACCTCTAGCACTCTAACCTATGTGGTGGCAGGAGGGCCTTCATCCTAAGCACCAGTGTCATTATCATTCTAGATCCCAGAATCATAGTTCCTTCATATTTGCCCATGCTCCAGGCCTCAGTTACATGGCTGCACAATAGGTGCCACCCATAATACACTTGTGCCACCAACACCAAGAGGAAGCACACAAGACAGACCCATGTTAAATAGGATTCCCTAAGCCACAACTTCCCAGTAGGAGAATAAATTGAGAAGAGCCTAGGAGACACCACCAGCAATAAACCCAAAAACCCTTGCTGCCACTACAAACATCCACAGCATTGGCCACTGAGGATCCCTGAAATCTGTGTCACCACTGACTTCAGCTAACAGGGCCACACAAACACTATACATCTGCATCCCACTGGTGCCAAAACCTATCCATCCCACCCAACCAATCCATCCCATTTAATCCTTGTGGCAGTCTCGGCCACAAGGATTACAAACCACCATCATGCCCCGTAAGAGAAAATCTTTCCACACTGAAATTAGCCAATGAAATTTGCAAGGGATGACTGTTCCACCAAATGTGCAGACATCAACAAGAGGGTAACAAGAAACAATGAAAAACCAAGGAATCATACCACCAAAAGAACACAGTAATTTCCAAGTTGCTGACCCCAAAGAAATGCAGGTATGTAAACAGTCTGAAAAATAATTCAACATAACTGCTTTTAAAGCTTCACAAAGTAAAGGAAAATACAGAGAAATCATTTTTTTTAAATTAGGAAGACAATAAACAACCAAAATGAGAAATTTAACAGACAGTGAAATTACTTTAAAAACCAAATAAAAAAGAGAGACATAAATAAAATGAGAAATGAAAGAAGAAACATTATAATTCATACCACAGAAATATGAAGAATCACAAAGGACTACTATGAACAATCATAGACCTACAAAATGAATAACCCAGATGAAATAAGCCCCTGGCCACATACAGTCTAATAAGGCTGAATCATGAAGAAATAGAATATATGACCAAACCAATAATGAGCAAAGAGACTGAGTAAGTAATTAAAGTTTTCCATCAAAGAAAATCCCAGGAACTGATTACTACTAAACTCTACCAAACATTTAAAGAACTAACACTGATCCTTCTCAAAATCTTCTGAAACAAAATAAAGAGGAGGGGATATTTCCAGACTCATTTTATGAGGCCAACATTACCCTAATACCAAAGCCACACTCGGACACTACCAGAAAAGAAGACTACAGGCCAATATCTCTGATGAACATAGATGCAAAATTACTTAACAAAATCCTAGCAAACCAAATTCAACAGCACATTAAAAAAATCACCTGCCTTGATCAAGTGGGATTTATCCCCAAGATACAAGGATGGTTCAACATATGTAAATACTACATTAACAGAATTAAGACAAAAAATATATTATCATCTCAATGGATGAAGAAAAACTGACAAAATTCAACATCCCTTTATGATAAAAACTCTCAACAAATTAGTTACAGAAAGAATGTAACTCTCAACACAATAAAGACCATACATGACAAGCCCACAGCTAACATCGGATTCAATGGCAAAAAGTTGAAAGCTTTTCCTCTAAGATTGGGAATAAGATGAGAATTTCTACTCTTGCTGCTTCTACTCAACATCATACTGGAAGTGTTACCCCAAGTAATTAAGCAATAAAATGAAATACAAGTAATCCAAAGTAGAAAGGAAGAAGTTAAATTGTCTCTGTTTATAGATATATGATCTTATATACAGGAATCCTAAAGTCTCTCTCCCCCCAACCTCTGCCAAAAAAAAAAAAAAAAAAAAAAAAAAAAAAGCTGTTAAAACTAATAAACAAATTTAGTAAAGTTATAATATCCAAAATTACCATACAAAAATTAGTAGTATTTCTATACACTAACAATAAACTATCAAAAAAGTCAATAAAACAATTGTTTAGAATCACTATGAAAAATAATAATAATTGAAATAAATTTAACCAAAGAGTTGAAAGATGTGTACATGAAAATTTATAAAATGTTGGTAAAATAAATTGAAGAAGACATTAGTAAATTGAAAGATGTTCCATGTTCATGGACTGGAAGAATTCATATTGTTAACATGTTCATGCTATCCAAATCAATCTGCAGAGTCAATCAAATTTCTATCAAAACTCTAATGACATTTTTCACAAACATAGAAAGAAATCTTAAAATTCATATAGAACTTTAAAAGACCCAGAAGACCTAAATAATTATAAACAAGATGGGGAGCATCACACTATGTGATTTCAAAATCTACTACTAATTTGTAGTTATCAAAATAGCATCATACTAATATAAAGACAGACATATGGACCAATGGAACAGAGAGCCCAGAAATAAATACACACATTTACAGTCAATTGATTTTGACAAAAATTCCATGAACACACAATAAGGAAAGAACAGTCTCTTCAATAAATGGTGCTGGGAAAACTGGATATCCAAATGCAGCATAATGAAATTAGATTCTCATATTACACCACATAAAAAATCGACTCAAAATAGATTAAAGACTTAATAGTAAAACCTGAAACTATAAAACCACTAAAAGAAAAACATGGGGAAAAAGCTCCATGACATTGGCCTGAACAATAATTTTTTTGAATATGACCCAAGAACACAGGGAACAAAAGCAAAAGTAGACAAATGGAATTGCATTAAACAAAATCTTCTGCACAGTCAAGAAAGCAACAGACTGAAGAGACAACCCAAATATATTTGCAAACAATAAATCTGATGAGGTTAATATACAAGATATATAAGAAATTCAAACCACCCAACATTAGAAAGCAAATTACCAATTTTAAAATGAGCAGAGGATCTGAATAGACATTTGTCAAAAAAAGATATTTAAATGGCCAGCAGATATATGACAAAATGATCAACATCACTAATTATCAAAAAATGCAAATTAAAACCACAATGAGATATTAACTCACACATGTTAAAATTATTATTACCAAAAAGACAAAAAATATTGTGTTGCGAGGATGTTAAAAAAAAAAAAAAGGGAGTCCTTACACACAGTTGGTGAGAATGCAAATTAGTTCAGTCATTATGACAACAGTATGGATGTTCCTCAAAAAAATGTTCCTTCAGCCACTATAGGCTAAAGTGCTCTGGGGCCCTGAATACACTTGAAAGGCAATTTGGACCACAAGGATTGCAATACCTAGTACTGAGCTGGTCTTGGAGTCCATGGACTTAAGGGCACACAACCTAGTGTGACACTCACCTGGGCAGCTAAGAAAATGCTTGTGCCACCTTTCTCCAAAACCCAGGCAGCACAGCTTGTAACTCCAAAAGTGACCCTTCTCTCCACTTGAGGAGAGGAGGGAAGGATAAATAGGACTTTTTTCTCACATCTTGGATACCACTCCACCACAGTAGAATAGGGCATCAGTCACAGTAATAAGGACCCCATTCCAGGCCCTAGACCCAGGTGACATTTCTAGACACACCCTGGGGCAGAGGGGAACCCATTGCCATGAAGGGAATGACACAGTCCTGGCAGATTAGAAAAAACTGAAAGAAATTCAAGATAATACAGAGAAGGAATTCAGAATTCTATCAGAAAATTTAATAAGAAGATTAAAATATTAAAAAGAGTCAAGCAGAAATCCTGGGGTTAAAAAATACAACAGATATACTGAAGAATGGTTTAGTGTCTCTAATAGTAGAATTGATCGTGCAAAAGAAAGAGTTTGTGAGACTGAAGACAGGCTATTTGAAAACACAATTAGAAGAGACAAGAATAAAAAAGAATACAGCATTCCTACAATATCTAGAAAATAGCCTCAAACGAAGAAATTTAAGTTACTGGCCTTAAGGAGGAGGTAGAGAAAGAGATAGAGGTAGAAAGTTTATTCAAAAGGATAATAACAGAGAAGTTCTCAAACCTAGAGAAAGATATAAATATCCAAATACAAGAAGGTCATAGAACA